GCCAGGAACGACGACGACGACGACGACGACGCCAAGAACGACGAGACACGTACCCGCGATACTGAGGAGAAACCGCCACCAACGCGGGGTGAATCGACCGATCGTCGAGGCGAGCGAACAATCGCGCGGTCAGCCACGGGATTCGCGCGGAGCTCGACGACTCTTCGCCAACTCGGAGAGTTCACCCTGAGGGAGAACGTCGCGCGCTGCCACGCCGCACGATCTCGCAGCGACGGCGGCTGAGATCTACAGCGTCATCCATCGAGCGCACGACCGGCAGCGGACGTTATATATATATATATATATGTGTGCGCGCGTACGAAACGCACATCGAAGAGTCGCGATTTTTCTTTTCACCGCCCCTCAGCTCTCGACAGCGCGGGGAGGAGATCGCCACGGGAACCACGCGAGAGTATGTACTTTCGAATGAACAAAATAAAAATATCCAGCGAGCGAAGCGCGACGTGCGCGCGCGATCCACGAGCGAGAGAGAGGGAACGACGCCTCAGCGCTCTCTCAAAAAAAAAAAATAAAGAAACGTCGCGGCGATCGCCGCGATCGGCTCGCGCGGCAAGTTTGCTCGGTCGCTCGCTCCTCGCTCGCTCCCTCCCTCGCTGGGTCGCGCCCAGGACGGCCACGCGATCGCGCGTCGGCGCTGCGCAGCGAGGACCGCGCGATTCGCTCGGAGAAAAGAGATCATCGGCTACGAACGACCGCTCCGACGAGTCGACCGCCGCGCGAAGAGTCGCCGCGCGCGACCCGTCGACATGTGGAGGGTCATGAGCGGGGAGGAGCTCGACGTCCTGCGCGTTCTCCGTTCGCGCGGCGGGACCACCGACGTCTCGCGAGGAGCGCACGTGGTGCGGTTTCTCCGCGATCGAGAGCTGGGTGTGCGCGGAACCGGCGCGGCGAGACAGGTGGTCGACCAGGGGCCCGTGCGCGATTGGCCCCGCGGCGCGAGACGAAGGGTGTACGCGTGGCACCGCGAGAGAGCGCGCGAGGACTACGAGAGGCGGGTGCGCGGCGAACTTTGGTACGTCGATCGGCGCGTCGGTCGCGCGGAGAACGGGAGCGGAGCGCGCGAGGACCACGAGAGGCGGGTGCGCGGCGAGCTCGAGAGAATCGATCGGCGCGTCGGTCGCGCGGAGAGCGGGAGCTACTGGGCGAGGCGAGTCGTCGAGAGGCTCGAGGGTCGCGCCCATCTGCGCATCGAGATCGCCGCGGGTGGCGAGAGGCGCGTCGAGCTGCTGGTGACGGACCCGCGCGTCTACGGCGAGTTCAGGTATCCCGCCGCCGCGAAACGTCGGATCGACGAGCACAGGCGGGAGCGCGAGTCCGACGACGAGAGTGGCGACGACGCCTTCTGCGACGCGTGCGCCGTTCCTCGAGAGGAGTGCGCGTACCGGAGAGGCGAGGAGTGGAAGGACTACCTCGTCGCGAACGTGGACCGAACGTGTCGACGGTGCGGCGAGGTCGCGTGCAAGTGCCACGCGGAGGAGTGCGACGCGATATAGACGAAGGGGACTCGAGTCGCCGGCCACTCTGGCTGCGCGCGCGCGCCTCGAACGTGTCGCGGTGTACACGCGCCCTATCGATTATTTGTAATATTCGATATGTATTTTTTACAATAAATACAATCGCATCTTTGTGTCTCTCTCTATTCGATGCGTCACATTTTTTTTACGTACGTCAACCTTCTCGCTCTCCACACGTGTGTACACGGCTGTTGTTTGCACCGTTCAATATATATATATTCTATCAGCGTGTACGTACGTCAATTTTTTTATTCACGATTGTAACAACAATCCACTCGTGTTTTTTTATATTCCTCTTAGATTTTTCCATTCCTCGTTTTACAACGCCAAAAAAAAAAAAAAAAAACGAATTCGAACCAGAGAATCCTCGCGTGAATCCGCTTCGCGTGCAACCCTTTCGCGCGCGGTAACCTCCAAGCGAGATACGCGTCCTCCGCGACGCGACCCACCCCCACGGCGACGGATCTTCCGCGACGGACCACCTTCGCGAACACCTCGGTCGATTCGGCGGCCCGTCCGAATCTCTCCGAGACGTTCTCTCTCTCTCTCGGCGATCGCGCGCGTGTCGACGCTGGTATACCCTCGAGAAAAAAGAAAGGAACGAACGAACGGCAGAGAGTCGCCGAGCTCGCGCGGCGGGCCCGCTCCCCCCCGTCGACGCTCGCGTACCTTCGAACGAACGGCTGGGGGGGTCGCCCGAGCTCGCGCGGCGGCGCGCGTCGCCGCACCTCCGTACGAACCACCGCGCTCACCGGCGAGCGAGTATCGGCGCCACTATCGA